CCATTTCGGTCCTCTTTACCCTTCTTTCAATTTTCGACCCCTGAAACACATCGAATAAAAAACAGAGGCAGCACTCAGCTGCCATAGGCTTTTTCACTCAAACTTACTCCTATTGACAACGGGCCACTAGATAATGCAAAAGCGAATTTTATCGATTTTTATCTCGATAGACAGAAGAAGCCTTTTAATTTTCTAAACACCCTTGTGTTATTATACTTCTCATGCATCTCTCTTAGTCTCCTTTATGAGTTGTCTCTTGGGGATTTATAAAGACTATACTTAAGAAGAATAAAGGAGATCTAACGTGCTTAGATAAGCAGAGAAGGAAAATGAGAAAAGGAAGAAAATTGGGAGGAGAGAGAGGTGCATATAGAAGTACCTTGATTAGTGGGTTTACGGTAGGAGTAGCCATCGTTGAAAAGAAAAATGTTGGAGGGCATAGGAGCATTAGTAGTGTTGGTAATGTTAATGCCAAACTGGATACTTGGATTTCATCTCCAGCAATCTCCACAACCATCTTGACATCAATGGTGGGAAATCTAGCAAAGATAGTTCCATTGGTGACACTAGTGGGGAGAGTGGTGCCATCGGCCAAGATGACATTCGTTGTGTTGAAAATTGTAAAGAGAGATATCTAATGTGGTTAGAGAGTAAGAAAATTGGAAGGACCAGAGAGAGAGAGAGATACCTATACACGGAGTCAGAGGTTTGAATGAGGCTATGGAGAGAAAGTTGGGCAGACCCAACATTGAACCCTTGTTCCATAAAAAATTGAATTCCTGTTTTACTCATCCCCCATATGTAAATACAGAGAAAAGAAAGGACTGAGTAGTTGTCACCATTGTGATTTCCCCAATTTGTACTTCATCCACATCCACTTGGCCATGGCTTCCGACTTCAAGACCATAAAGAGAGAGACAGAAAAAATACTTGGCTTCTTAGAAATGCAAGCAAAGCCCTTCTACCGGTTCATCTGAGAATTCATTGCATTAAATACCCTTTTGAAGGTTGATGCAAGCTTATTGGCTGGAAATATTCTCCGTTGAATGGAATATTCAGACAGATGATGCCACTACAAATGATATTTTCTACTGTTTAGGGTTTGGAGTTTACTCTAAAAGATGGATTAGTTTACTATTCTAAACTAGTAAACTTGAGTGAATCGAGTGAAAAACATTTTTTGCCATTTTAAAAATATCTTGAAGATGCCCTCACTATTAGTCAGGGGCAATTTTGTAACTTGGACAATTTTTAGTATGGGTCATTGATGCAAGGGAGGTATGTTTTGGATTTCTCAAAACTTCAAGGGAGGATTTTGTTAAAATAAAACTTTAGGGGAGGTTTTTATATTTTATCCTAAATTTTTTTAAAAACAAAAGGTAAGGAAAAGAAGAAGATACAGTTGAGCCCCAAAGAACGGGACTCATATCAGAAAATGAAAGGCTTTACAAAAGAGAAACATCTACAGGGCCCAAAATCCTAATCCGCCCCTTGTAAACAAGTATTAATGGTAACTAATAAAATTAAGTCAAGTACTTACTGCTAATTGAAAAAATTAAGTATATTTCTTGACAAAATTAATTACTGTTAATTATTGTTAAATAATTACAATAGTTACTGTTAAAGAATAAATTAATGAAACTACTATTAGTTATCAAAATTATGTATTTACTTTTAGCAAATTGCAACATGTTGTAAGATGCGTTTTGTGAGGAGTAAATCTGATTTCCTTTCTGTTGAAAAGTAAGAGTGATAATTTTGTAATTTTTTTTTATATTTGTCTTTTGTATTAAGTGGGTTGCCTTGGGACTTGAGAGCAAGGTTTAAAATTTCGATATGATATGCTCGACGTATCATATCATATTTTTGAAAAATAGATACGGGATACATATGGAAATCAGATGTTTTGTCTTTTTAATTTCATGCGTATCGGACCCGTATCAGGGTGTATCGGGGTGTATTGGTAGCGTATCGACGAAAAATATATGGCCAAAAACTAAAAAAAAAAAATTAAAGGGGGAAAGCAAGTTTCTTTTTCCCAAAATAAGCCTTCTTTGACCCCCCAAATAACTCTAAAATTCCAAGCTTCATTCCTAGATTGGTAGATTTGCAAAAGTTTGCAAGAAACAAGTGTGAATCGTTAATTTTTTTAAAGATTTTTCAAAATTTGAAAAAATATGGCAAAGATAGATAAATTTTTTCAATTTTTTATAATATCTTGTGATTTCTTTTTTTTATTGGAGGTTCAAATTTATTTCAATCTACATTTCTTACATTCAAAATCATAATTTTTTTTTGTATTATCAGTAGATTTATGGAAATTTCATGAAGATATTTGGGGAAAATATAAATTAACAAAAAATTTATAAATGTACCTTTTTTCTCTGCCTATAAAGGCTAAATATATTTTAGATCTATGGATTTATCTATCATATCCATAAAGCAATTGAAATTTTTTCTTTAATATATTTTTTATTTTTTATACTTTTAGAATTAAAAAATAAATAATAATTAATTATATTTTATCATTTATTCACAACAATTGAATATATTATAATTCTATGGATGATCTATAATATCCACAGGCCAATTGAAATATCTTCTTTAATAATTCTTTTTTTATTTTTATATTTTTAGAATTAAAAAAATAATTAATTAGTTATATTTTATTATTTGATAACAATGATTGAATATATTATAATTCTGTGGATGATCTATCATATTCACAAAGCAATTGAAATTTCTTCTTTAATAACAATTTTTGAATATATTATATAATTTTATTTATTTTTTATAATTTTTGGAATAATAAATAATAAGTAATTATGTTTTTACATAGAAGTTGTGACAATGCATATTTTATGGTTGGATAGGAGAGTTGGGTTTTTTTCCATCCCATAAAACATTAAAACTTAAGAATTATAATTTATAAATTATACTTAAGCATAGGATTTTTAATGAAGTTATAATTAGTTACAATATATTTCTTCATAATACAATGTATATTGAGAACTTACATTTAGTGTTGTTGATGTATTTTTATGATTTATTAAAGTACTTATAGTGTTTCCAAGCGTATCTTATTTTTCTCTGATACACATGCGTATCCAAGGTGTATCCGGATACATTTCTTAAAATTTCCTTTCCGATACACTTGCTTGAGAGCTGAAAGGTCTAGACCATAAAAGTAAAACTCCTTTATATATCTTGTAATCTGAAACATTTTTGCAACAGAGCTCAAGATGCTAAGAAACAAAGTAAATGTTGGCTTTTCATCTTCTTCTCTTCTTCTCTTCATTCTATATCCTATTTTCTCTTGTACAGATTTTTTTGTTCTTCCTCTGATTTTTACTACCACACTTGCGTTGCTCCAACATATTCTATGAACTTTGTTTTCATCCCACTTGCAATTTATGGAGTCCAAAATGTCTTTTACCTTTGCATCCGGATTTGGAATGTTCTACCCATTTAATTGGAGTTGAAGAGGGGAATTTGCAGCCCATGCATGTATTTTTCGAAAGACTCATTGGCTTTCCATTTCCAATGGTCCAGCTTATTCCTTTCATTATTAACTCCCTTTGACTTAACATTCTTTTTGAAATCTTGGCATCCCAAAAGTTGCAATTATTCACCACTTGGACCCATAAACTTGTGGGTTGGGTCAGAATTTTCCATCCTCATTTATCTAGGTAAGCGGCATTCATCCATTCAACATTTTTATAGTATCCCATCCACACAAGATTTAGGTTTACATAGCATTTTCCATCTAAAAAGGTGCACCTCAACCTTATTAATCGATTCCATAAGATAGACCCAAAATCAGAACAAATTATGAACAGGGATAATCGGGTCTGACATTTTTAGACTTACATCTATAATTACCTAATAGTAATAATTTGAAGCTTTGTTTTTGATAATATAAACTTGATAAAAATTACAGCAAACTAGTAGACTTTTTATATATGTTGATAAAACAAGTATTTTTAACCAAAATATATCATCATAATTTCAATGAAAATTATATATTATTAGCTAATAGTGTGTTAGTAAATGACCCTTTTTTTTTTCTCACAAGGAAAAAGCCTAAGATACACGGATTGCGTGAGGCCCACTTTATGAAGATGACGAGCACTTGAAATTCCTTTACTTTTTTCTTCAGATATATGTGGATTATGATGAATTTGTGAAGAGTTGAAGAAAACAAAATTGCAGGCTTTGGAGTTTTTCTATAAAAGAAAGCAACAAACATAAGGGACAACAGAAATAACAAAACGCACAGATCCAACTTGATACAAAATTGCATGCTTAGGAGTTAATTTGTGACTGATCTTTTTCATTATAATTCCCAAAAACGATAACAGTAATCCTGAAGCTTCAAGATTACTAATTTTCTCTTTATTCTTTTTCAGAGTTCACTTTCGATCCTTTCAGGAGTGGAGGACCAAAGAGCGGTAGAAAACAAGGCCACGTAACCTAAATCATAACCTGATGTTTTCTGAAACATGGGAGAAGTGACTACTTATCCCATGCATTGTCATCACCTTCCACGGAGTAGTGTAAAGTTTTTTCCTTGTTCTTTCTGTTCTACAGGCATAGCAATTCTGCTTGAAGAATCGGGAGATTAGCTTCTGCTTCCTGTATTAACTATTCGCTTTTCTCTGCTCTTTTTGGTCTAGTAATGGGAGGTTAGTTTCACTTAGTTGGATTACGTGGCATATGATTTGATCTTACTCTTCTTCTTTATCATGCATATATGTAGTCTACTCAAGAGAAAAATGATGATAATAATAATAATAAAAGATTCGATTCCTGTCTCGGTTTACTTTCTCTCTTATGTAGAAGAATTAATGTGATAGACACTCCAGTTTCTTGACCCAAAAACATCTCCTCATACAGAATTAGCAGAGTAATCCATTTATCCAAATGGTGAGAAGTAGTAAATCTTAAAATCTTAATCTCTCTAGTTGTTTGTACTTTGCAGCTAGCAGAGAAAAGTAGGATAAGATAAAACAGTACTTCTTATATGATAATTAATTAAAAGAAGTAAGTAAATAATACAGTCTACAGTAATGATCAGAGAAAACACAGCTGCGAAAGTAGACTGTTCTGGCCAATACTAGGGTTATTATTTAAACGTTGGTTGACTTGTCAAACATGATAATTATATCATTGGCACTAAGAAGTAAGACCATTCCCTATCTAGAGATAAAGGCGATGAAAGACTCCAACTCGGCATGAGAGGTTCCACCTTCAGCTACCGATTGATGAACTGCACGACCCAAATTCTCAGCTCTCTTTTTCATTTTATTTCCTTCCTCTGAAGCCATCAACTTGGTGATTGCATTTTCAATTGTGAGTGAAGAAACCAGTTCTTCTCGTCGTTGCCATTCTCCTACTACAATACCAACCTTCAACACCTTGGTCACAAGCATGGTGTTCCTTGGCTGGTCTGAGTGCATTGGCCAAGCTGCAATCGGCACGCCCATGCTGATGCTCTCCATGCATGAATTCCAACCACAGTGGCTCATGAATCCGCCGGTTGAAGGGTGAGCCAAGATCTCAAGCTGTGGAGCCCAGTCTCTCACTATTAATCCCACTCCATCCATTCTCTCCTCATACCCTTTTGGGAGCTCAACTTTCCTAGCATCCTCCACTTGAGCATAAATATCTCCTCGGTCAGCTTCCCTTAAGACCCAGATAAACCGTTGCTTACTACGTTCCAAACCAACAGCAAGCTCAGATATCTGATCGTCCGATATCGATGTCATGGTCCCAAATGAAACATATAGGACTGACTGCGATGGCTGTTTGTCTAGCCACTCCAAGCACTTGTGCCGGTGCTTGAATTCTCTGGCCAAACTGAGAGCTAGTGGATTCAGTGGCCCGACGGCCCATATTTTCTTGTTTCCGTTGAGTTGCTCTTGAGCTAACAAATCAATGAATGTGGCTTCCATTGGTCGGCATGTGTTGTAGAGATCACCAACATCGAAATTCATCACATCATAGTGGTGGCTGATGAAGTTTGCAAACTCCTGGGTGAAGCATCCTTCAAGTGAGAGATCAGGCAAATCCTTTGGAATAATAATTCCCTGATCCGGCGTTGGCCTCCCAAGGGACTCCCACAAGTAGAAGGCAATGGCGAAGGCGGATACACTGTGGAAAGCGTAGGCCTCAGCATTAGCAATGGCAGCGACATCTTGCACAGAAAACGCCATGAGAGTGTCGTGGATGACGACAAGCCTACGTGTGGTGGGGGAAAGCAAGCGAAGGAGTGCAGCCATGGGCTCACGGAGGTGCAAGGAGGCGTCAAATGTGGGTTGGAGGTGGGAAGGAAACTTGATCGGGGCATCTGGGTTTGGTGGAGGGTTGAGCAATGGTGGCATGGGGAAGTCATGGAAGCGTATGTTGGAGACAGTGAGAGGGTTCCAACCATGGACGCGTTGCTTTGCTTGGCGATTGTGGGTTGCCCAGCCAACGTAGTGCACTGGAATGCCGTAGGCTGATATGAGACGGGACAAGTGTAGAAGCTGATTGAGGTGACCTTGGGCTGGAAAGGGTACCATAACTACACGAACTGGGATTTGGTTTAGGCCGTTTACCTGAAACTCTAGACGATGGTGGCGGTGGTGGTGGTGGTGGTTTTTGTATTGATGGTGGTGAACATCTTGATGATCCATTGATAAATAATAATTTGAGAGAGAGAGAATTGAAGGGGTCTTGCAGGTTATACTTTTCGCTGCAAGCCTACTGCAACTGCAAGCTTCAGCTTTGAGCTTTTATAGAAGTTTTTGTTGTGGCTCGTATTTGTTTCACTGCATATCGTTTTCAGTTCCATGTTCAGTGAATTGACCTCTCTCCTGCACCTTTGGTGACTAGTTTTGTATTTTGACTGGCTCGTATTGCTGTCCTTTACGCTGTGTTTGGTTAATTTGAAGGGCAAAGTAGGGAAATGAAGGTTGTATAGATTTCCCTATCTTTCCCTTCATTTCCCTACCTTTTCCTTCAAACCAAATATAACCTTAGTGGATAAAATTATTAAATGATGAAATATTTAAGGGTTAATAATTTAGCCAATTTATTGTAATAGAAGAAAGAATTTTATTTAAAAAAAAAAAAACCTGCAAATTCATTAATTAAAAATCATAAGGATAAAAACAATTCAGCCCAAACTACAGTTGGGTAGGTGTCACTTCGGAATTCAGGGGTGGGCATTGGTGTATAGAATAAAGACAGTTCAACCATTGAGAGGCCAATCACAACCTAATTTACCTAGAACTTTATAAAAGACAAAGCATGATGCTCATTCAATTCAGCCACTTCAGCTGTAATCAAAACCACCCCAGTACTATTCATTTTTCGGAAAATTATTTATTCAAGTAATTTCATTTACCCACGTAAGTGTTACTTATTAAACATTTACCCAGGTAATTGAACTTTAATTCTCGTGTAAATTATACTTTTATCCATAAAAAAAGTCATTATTAGAATGAGTAAAATTGTCACAAAACATTTTAGCAACTTTTTTTTCCCACGTAGGAAAGTTATTAATTAATCCACATGAGAGATGAATAAAGGATACCTACTTTTTAGTGGATCGATCCTACGTAAACATAAAAAACGAACATGAAAAGAAAAAAAAAAAACGGTCAATGAAAACCATAACCCCATTGGCTGACTTTCCCATTTAATTATAATCCAAAAAAAACAAAAGGGCCTATTCTAAATTTCTAATAATTAAGAAGGTCACCAACATGTTAAGAGAAAGGTAAAAACAAAATCCTCTACAACTGAAAGCAACGCGGAAATGTACCAACAGGAGTAATCAGAAAGAAAGTGCTCGTCCAATGTATCTAACCATAGTTGAAGAAAAAGAAATTGGAGCCAGTTGGCCGAAATTGAGACTTCCTATAGAACAAGGAAGCATTTTATCTTGTGATGGATAACGTTTTCATGTATGAGATAAGATTTTAAGTTCCATAACTAGCCAGTTGCACTATACCATCTCATATATATGATCTTCATCATTTTTAATGGCAGAACTGCTTGTCAATGTAACATGTGGGCCCAGCTCTTCAATGAAAAGACCAGGAGAAAGACAAAGAATGGCAGCTAAGGGATTGGTTTAACTTGAAGCACAACTGACATGTGCAGTGGAATACTGACTCAGATGACTTCAAGAGACGTGAAGATGTTTCTCTGCTAAAAGCACCGAGTCTTACCTGGGTCTGATCTGGGTCTGATCCCATTAAGACATCAGCTTTGAATCCACTTCTTATATATTGTATTTCCATCTTTCATATTTAAGTACTGCCATTGGTCACCCCCTCTCATCAACTGTTCAATCAAAAGACAAAGACTAGGAGCAAGACAATGAATGACAACTAATGGCTCAAGTCTGAAGCGCAACTGGTATGTGCAGTGGAACACCTAACTTTCAAATAACATCAACTCTACCAAGGGGGTGTCTGAATTGTTTTTCTTGAGAGTTTCAAAAACAAAACCAGCTGGTGAAAACCCAAATATTCTTGGTTATATTTGTACATGCTCTTTGTTTCGAAAACTAAAACCAAAGTGTGTTCTTGAAGTTTTAAATTTAAAAAACATTTTTTCATCTGTTTATTTAATATCAAATTCTATAAATCATATAATTTCTACACTATAAAATTTATTTTTGTTTTAAAAACCATTATTTTTTATGGTTCCAAAGGCATGTACTGTTTTTTCTTTTTCTTTTTTTTTTTGTTGTTTCTTTCAAAACAAAAACATTCAGGATTTTACGAACTATGGCTCTGTTAGTTACCTTGTTAGATCTCCAATTAAATCTAGACATACAACTTGTTCCATACCCATGTGAGTTAAAATAATTAGCATGTGAGCTGTTGACCATTGGCAATGGGTCCTGAATCTGATCCCTTAAAAGCTATTAGCTTTGAATCCACTTATGCTGCACATATTTCCATTTTTCATATATTTTAGAAACTCCCATTGGTCAGAGCTTCTTGTCAAACCCTTAGCTTTGATGAAATTCCATTGGAATTATTCTTCTGATCTCTCTTTTAGCATAAATTCAGAGAGTGGAAGAAGAAAAAGAGGAATATATATAGGTACTTGCAGGGTTTCCAATAGAAATCTAGCCTTTCAATTCCCTTTGGTTCCCTCGTGTCCATGCAAATATATGTTAAAGAAAACTACTAAAACATCTCAATAACTATGTAAAGGCGAGGGAATTGGGCATATTCCATACCCTTCATTAATCAAAAAATAAATAAAAAGTAACCCTTTGGTACTAATTTTCTTTATAAATTAATTAACTAGGATGCCTGCTCCCTATTCAATCCCATAAAATGAGTCGAAATCCCTTTTTTGAATGGGCATATATATAGTACAAAGAGCAATAATAAATCTATATTAATTCCTACTCATGAGAATATGATTTTTTTGGTAATTATACAGTCTTCAAGAAAAGGAATAATTTGTACTCGTTAGGATATATATATATATATATAATTGTCACCAAAAAAAATTGGAATCTGGTTGCATGTCATGTCTTCTTTAACTTATTGTTCTTAGCAGTGTAAGCCATGTCAAGTTAGCTTTCCTCATCTCTCCACGGAACTGCAAATTAAAGTAGCAAGACCGAATCTTATCCTTTAAAGGGGCTGGATATATATATATATATATATATATATATGTGTGTGTTTGTGTGTATATATATATGTATGTATTTGTGTGTATATATATATGTATGTGTGTGTATGTTTGAATATAATTCTTTTTCCTTCAGACTAGCAAATGAGATTATGGGAAAAGGAAACTCTCTTATTAATTGCATGAGAATTAAAAGTCTAAATCAGCTGGAAATAAAATCATGCACTGGGCTGAGCAATCTATCATGGGTGGGCACACCACTGATCACTATGGGATAGAACTCAAGACAAATAGTGTAGCAATAAGAGTATAGTAAGGAACGTTCAACTATGCTTAGTATTCATAGACATTCAGGCATCTTCCGTATATGGCCCAACTTGCATCTGAATTTGGTCAAGCATTAATAATAGCCATCCAATGCTTTAAGGAACATTTGCAAAGAAAAAAATGCTCATCAAGGAGGCTATTTCAGCACATGGTGAGGACTTTTAGAATAAAGCTAGCTAAAAGAGATCCTTACCTTGGATTGGACAGAAGAAATTTAAAAAAAAAATTAAAAGAATTACAATGTAATACTTCGTACCACCCCTTGGAATATGTTGGATGTTTTTTAATGGGCATATAAAATACAAAAGATAAAACTAAGGATCCGTTTGGTTTGTCATCATAATCGGAACCAGAATGGTCTATTCCCCCATCCTGTTTGGTTCATACAGGAAATGGAATCAATTGATTGAAATAAATTTTCATTACCAAGGGAGGGAGAGGGAATAGCCATTCCCTCAAATGGAGGAAAATTCCACCAAGTACGGGACTCAGATTCTGATTCCACCCAACCAAATAAGGCTATAAACAAATTGGATTCAGCAAAATCTGAGTCTAATACAATTATTGATAACTTGCATTCAAATTCGATCTAAAATCTAATCAGATTTAAAGACCTTGAACTCGAATTCAAATCCAAACAGACTCGGATCGAATTCAGACTTAATTCGGCCCTGCTTTAATTTTATAAAATACAAAAAAATTAAAAAGTTAATAACTTTTCTACTTATATATACAATAAATTAATATAAGTATAACATAATCAATTTATTATATATATTTATATAAAATTATATTTTTATAATTTTAAGTATAATTATGTAAATTTTATATATTAAAATGGATAAATATTATAATATAATTGGATTCAGATTTTAATTCAATTGTATGGAGTCAAATCCGAATCTGGTCTGATTATTAATCTAAAGCAGATTGCAAAATCTGAATCTGATTTGATTATGTAAATACATCATCCAAATCCAAGATAGTTAGATCAAGTCGTATAGTTTCAAGTATCATTGACAAGACTACAACCAAATATAGAAATCAAAATGAACTATTCTGACCCTACAATTAAATACAAATCAATGCGCTATGCTTCTTTATTATAATGCACCATAAAGCATTTGTATCATTTATGATGAATTCCACATCTGAATTTGGTTCTATTCATCTTATGAAGTCACAATATTCTAGTTATGCTTTAAGAGATAGAAAGGGAAGAGAGGGACTATTGGTCTGGAGAGAGAGAGATTGAAAAGAATCTAGCTTGTTGGAGATAGGAACTAGAGAGGTTTGTTTGGGTTAAAAAAAAAAAAAAAAGTGGGCACATAGAAGATTTTGTGTTCATTTGTTACAACTTGGGTGGGCCAAATCTAAGCTTTTGCATGGTTGGGTTTCAACTTTTGAGCTTCAGGCCTTGTCTGGGCAAAAAACATTGGGCCTAACTTAAATTCGAGAGAGGTGGGTTGAGGTCTCATCCAAACCCACCTAAAAAAATGCATACATATATGTACATACATTTGTTAATGAAATCTATACATATTTTTAATCCATTTTACTCCTAAATTGGGCCATTAAGCCCAATAAAAGATGATTATATATTCATAACTTCTTTCAAACCTCCTAGATCCAACTAAACTTGACCTGAGTTATGTTGGGTTAAGCTTTAGGCCTATGTTGGTAAACTTAGTTTTAATCTTGAGTTGGTCCAGTCCTAAGTCCAAAGTTTTCTTCTTAGGATTTTACCTAAGGGTGATCATGGACCAAGCTTAGGCTGCATTTGGCATTCCTTATTTTAAGGATTTATCTTCCTTTTACTATTAAAATGCTCCTATGAATACTTAGTTTTCAACTACAAAAAGGAGATAAGTCCTTAAAATAAGGAATGACAAATGCAGCCTTAACACCTCTAATAAGACTTATTTCTAGGCCAGGTTGGAAATGATCACCCTGTTAGACAGTGTATGCTCTTAGTTCCAATCAGAATGATGTATCTTATGACATTTAATGTAAATGAATAAAGTATATATTTGATTCATTTTTTTATGGTGTGTTTCTATGTAATACCCTTAATTTGGACACATATGAGGCTCGTGTTAGTTTAGAATCTTCATAGCCGTTGGATAGATCTGGGGAGATTTATCCTGCCAAGGCTAACACTGATGTACTGCCAAATTGGTTGGGGTGGTTTGTCTTAGCTGCTAGGGTGAGACCTGAGGTACATGTAGTGTGAGTTTTCTTGAAACCCTGAACCAGACCAAAATTTCAGTATTGCCTTGGACCTTGGAGATTGATGGGCAAAACTGGAATGTTACACCTGACCCCTAGACTCGATTATGATACTGCACTAGGTATCAGATTGGGCTGCCTTTGATATGCCAATCAGTGAGATCCTTAGAGGGGGTCAAAATTTGGGTATGTTGGGGCAGTCCAAGAATTCATCTGAGTGGGTGATCATAGTGATAGGATCAACCCCTTTGTCAGACAAAATAATGATCGGGGATGCACTCTCTCTGATGGAAACCAAAACTGCCGTTAGTTGATTTTAATCGTTGAAATTTGTTTTGCAAAATATATTTATATAGAGATACACACACACACACACACATATATATATATAGAGAGAGAGAGAGAGATTGCAACATTGTTCCTTGCAGCCGAGGGAGAGGTCCTCTCTTGTCGAGTAGTGTTTGGTCATTATGGGCTGAGAGGTTAAGTGTAAGACCATTGAGGGTAATACCTGATGGGCTAATCTTGCATCTGCCAACAGTCCTTGGGTTTTTATAAGGTGGCTTGACCCAGGGACCACTTAGTGTAAGTGTTGGGCCCATTAAAAGCCCATGGTGATGGGCTCATGGGTTCATTGTTTCCTACAGTGAATTCGACCAAGCCTTGTAATAGAGGCTGGGTTGAACCCATGTGGCTGATGTATAGATCAATGTTTGGGTCCCATGCCATACAAGGATACCCAACTGGGCAGCAATTTGGAGGTTGAATGAGCCATGGACTTAATGGGCCTTAAGCCCAAATCAAACTGGTTTAATTTGATTAATTAAAGAGGGGCGGTTCTGAGATTTAGATCAACAGATAGGATAGGGAGTTATCCCTATCCACTCAGAGAGTCCAGATCCAAATAATGATTTGAATTAGGAAACTCCTAATTAGATTAGGAGAACTGATCTTAATCTATAGATAAGATAAAGGTTTATCCTTATCTCTTAAAGAGAGTCCAGATCCAAATACAGGTTTGGATTAGGAAACTCCTAATGAGATTAGGAGCTGGAACCCTACTTCACCCAACAAGATCTCAGATCCAAGAGAGAAGACAACCCTAGTAAGACTGACGCCATGTTCTGCTCTTGCCTCCCTCTATTGCTGCCACCATTGCCAGTTCGTTCTCCACCAGTAGGAGTGATCAAGAAGTGTTCTTGATATCAGTTTCTGGAGAAAAACTGATAAGAAATTGTGCTCATTCGCCCTCCATCAGATTCTTGGTGAAGAATCAGGTTCTTGCTGAAGGATCACCCTGTTGATTCCACTCCACCCTACACTATATCACCTTCAGTGGGAGCAGTCTTTGGAGATCTCCTTGGGCGTGAATACCTTCATTGGGAGTTACTACTACTCTGTATTAGGTATATCCCTCTCCTAACTTTTAGTTTCAGATCTGGTTCGGTTTAGGGTTCAAGACTAATCATTGAAAATGCAGTTTTCTAAAACATGGAATGTGATTCCCAGATGAGAGAGAGAGAAATTTTTGAAATTTCGCCCTACCTTCCTACAGGGTTCGGCTATCCATGTGATGAATCTCTCATCCCTTCACACCCCTAATTGGGTAGGGTTGACGGTTGACCTCAACCCAACCCAATCTGCCCAAGTTGCACCCCTAGGAGTGGATTATATAAATACCTAGTTATTAAAGTGGATTTTTTCAAACTCTAATCTGCATTATATCATTTTTATTTTCAAGATAAATAAAAAAGTTTTATAATATAAAAAAGAGAATTTACCAAGGGATCCACCCGAAGTTAAACATACCCTAAGAGACCAAAGTGAAAATCCAGGCCCAACTAAGCCACACCAGCCCACCTAATTCACACCACTTCCTTACCCTAACCCAACATGCAAAACAAAACTTCCCCTTCTTCACCTAATGCTGCGACTTCTTAATTCTTTGTCCACTGCACTAAGCAATCTACTTACAAACCAGTTAGCTTCTCAACTTCCTATTTCCAGGCCACCCCCCTAAGTTGAATATTTCATTTGCTTCTTTCAGGACTCATTATCTTCTCTATCCTTCTCCTTGCTCTTACTTAGGATCTCTTTCTTCTTCCTCCAATTTTCTAAAAATTCTCTTCCCAGTTTCTTCTCCACCGCTTTTCCCTCCGAGTCTATCTCATTTTCTTCCGCAACCGTATCTCCTTCCAAATCAGAGCCACTAGAGGTTGTCAGGGAAGCCTCCTGCTCCCCTAGAGGTCTCGGTTCCTCCCCTTCCATCTGAATTTCTTCTCCCCCGCCACATCTAGAATCCTATTCGCATTCTCCCCTTTCCTAAGAGAGTTCCCTGTCAACATTTCCAATTCATCCCTACCGATAAGCTCGGAATTAAGCTCACTATTGACTATTCTTTTGAATTTCTTCCCCTGAAGTTGGACAGCGTACATCAGCTCCCTATCTGTCGTCCTCTTGCATGTAATTTTCAGCCCTCTTTTTTTACATCCTCTCCTTTTGCGAAAATTAGATTTTTTTAATTTCTCAACAGAATTGTTGAGAGCTTGTTTCTTTCTTACCTCTTTTTTTTACATCCATTACCACATGGGACATGTTTGGAAGTGCCGAGATGAAATTTTCAGGTAATTAAGTTAGTTTTGCTGTTTTGAAGGAGTCTAGTCTAGATGGGACCACACCTTATGCCTACCAATTAAACACCAAACATGCACTAAACACTGGCGTGTTCATTCTTGAGATGTTGCCTCTAATCCGTCCGGTACCGTTTGAATGCATATTCTGCATAAGCTATTCAAAGAGGCTAAGCCGCGCGACAGCCCTTAAAATGAGAGAAAGAGACAGACAGACAGACAGACAGCCAGTTGGGGCTCCTTTGGGAATTGGGATTTTTCCTAACTAACTTCTACATACTAGACATGTGGGGTCCACTTTGAAAATTCAGCCCTTTGGCTGCTGAGTGTTGAGAATGTTTTTTTGGCATGAAAAAATTAAGATGGGTCATGGGTGTGGTGATTAACTTGACCAGAAGTCAAACAGTAAGCAGAAACATTCCCAGCAGCCGAAGCTTAATTTTTCCCAAAAGGGCACCTATTTCCACAACAATTGACCATCCTCATTGTCCATACGTGATAGATTATTGTCTATTTGATTATCTACTTGCAACAGTTAAGCACATAGAAGATCGATCGATGCAGTACTCGATCTGCTTTCCTTTTCCATTGTTTTTTTTCTTCTTTTTTTTTTTTTTTTTACTGTTTTCTTTGATAAGCACAGTCCTTTGTTTCCAGACCGACAAGCAACAAGCAACAGTAGAATCGCTACTGTAGCATATTTCAGACTGGAACATTTTGTTCAAAATGACTAGACCACACCTTTACCAACCCGTCCAGAACATTTGGTATCACTAGAATTAATTAATTTTAGGGGTTTTATATGCATTTCTCTCATTGAATGTGACAAATCATTACAAATTTGTGGCACTGAAACCAGTCTCTCCTGATCGAAAACAGTGAAATGCATGATAGGTCCCAAGTAACCTTTCTGACCAAATACTCCACGGCACCTCGATTAGTTCATGGACAGTAAGTAACTGCAGCGCCAGCCCCACTCGCTCTATCTACTATCTAGAGATGTGAGCGATGAAGGACTCTAGCTCAGCACAAGACGTCCCACCCTGCTCCGACATCGATTGGCGAACGGTGCCGCCTAGTTTTTCAGCTCTCTTCCTCATGTCATCCCCTTCCTCTGACGCCATCAGCTTCTTGATTGCATCTTCTATGGTGGACGAAGAAACCAGTTCGTGCCGCCGTGACCAGTCTCGGACAACAAGGCCCACCTTCAATACCTGAGTCACAAGCATGGTGTTTCTCGGCTGGTCTGAGTGCATTGGCCAAGCTGCCATTGGCACGCCCATGCTGAGGCTTTCCATGCATGAATTCCAACCACAGTGACTCAGGAACCCACCCGTTGATGGGTGGGCCAGGATCTCTAGCTGTGGAGCCCAGTCCCTAAGTATTAGTCCCCTACCTTCCACCCTCCCCTCCCCCTCGTAATAGTCGTACCCTTTTGGAAGTGGAGTTCTCCTAGCTTCCACCCCTAGGCCTTCATCGTAAATATCTCCTCTGTCCGCTTCTCTTAACACCCAGATGAAACGTTGCTTGCTACGCTCTAATCCAACTGCAAGCTCGTTGATCTGATCGTCCGGTAGTGACGTCAAGGTCCCGAATGAAACATATAGTACTGATTGCGCTGGTTGCTTGTCTAACCATTCCAAGCACTTGTGCCGGCGACGACGAGGCGATTCTTTTGCCGAATGGAGGATTACTGGGTTCAATGGCCCAACTGCCCATATTTTCTTTCTCCCGTTGAGCTTCTCTTGAGTCAATAGATCCATGAACCTGCCTTCGATGGGCCGGCAGGTATTGTAGAGATCACCCACGTCGAATTTCATCAAATGATACTGACGAGCCATGAAATTCACAAATTCGGCGGTGAAGCATCCTTCGAGTGAGTGATGAGGTACTCCGTTTGGAATGACAATCCCTCCGTCCGTGGGTTTTCCGAGGATCTCCCACAAGTGGAAAACAATGGCGAAGGCCGAGACACTGTGAAAGGCATAGGCCTCGGCATTGGAGAGGGAAGTGACATCTTGAACAGCAAATGCCATGAGAGTGTCGTGGATAACGACAACCCTGTTGGTGAGAGTAGAGAGCGAGCTCAGAAGTGCAGCGATGGGTCCACGGAGATGCAACGAGGCATCGAAGGTGGGTTGGAGATGGGCAGGGAACTTGATGGGGGCATGTGGGTCGGGCGGAGGGTTGTGGAATGGTGGCATGGGGAAGTCATGGAAGTGGAGGTTAGGTATGGCTAGAGGGTTCCAGCCATGGACACGGTCCTTTGCTTGGCGATTATGAGTTGCAGAGCCCACATAGTGGACGGGAATGCCATAGGCCGATATGAGACGGGACAAGTGTAAGAGTTGGTTGAGGTGGCCTTGTGCTGGAAAGGGCACCATTACCACTACAACTGGTGCTTGCCTGCTGAGGCCGTTTTGATCAGAGAAACGACGACGATGATCGTGGAGATGATGGGAATTACGAAGAACACCATGAGGATGAGGATTGTGAACATTATGATGACCCATTGAGACAAGGATGGGTTTTTTTCCTTTAGTTACCTTGAGGCCTTCAAGATAGGTGCATGGAGTCTGGCTTTTATAAGCTAGCGAGCTCTTGGGCTTGTAATTGTTTCTTCATTTTTTCTATTTTTTTTTTTTCTAAAAGGTAACTGTTTCCATGTACATTACTCATTTCCTTGTTCCATCAATATTCATTGAACAAATGAATTCTATTCAAAACACAGACATGTTTTCCAATTTCTTTTTTTTTTTATGAAAACATGTTGGTTAGTGGGTTGTTAGAACATTTTTTTTTTTGATTAATGACTGAATAAAAAGTTGGTCAATAAAATTTCGATTCATTAACAATCAATTCTATGTTCATGTTTTGGTAAACTGTGGGGCCACTCTAAGTTGTTTTTCCCTGGGTATATCCCTCTCTTTATGTATGAGAGAAATTTTCCCTGTAAAATAACTACTCTGGGGTCTCAAAGGAAATAATTAGAATATATATTGAACTGCAATGATGATGCTAGACCCTAAAATAATGCAGAACTGCAAGGACCATGCATGGCCTATGGCCCTGTTAACATATTAACTTATGCGGTTTCTGTCTACATTCTACAGCCAGCAAACTCATGGGGTCTCCAAATTTTAATAAAATAGCAACGTGACTTTGCTTTCAGTTTTGATGGCAGTTGGTCCATAACACTGTTGAGTGAGTCATTCATCTTTGGAAAATTTCCCCACTTTGAGTGGGTGGAAGTGCAACAGAGCAGGGGCGGAGCCAGGGGGTGGCGGAGGGGAGCCATGCCCCCCCACCCCCCTATGCCTTCAAAGTTCCCACAAAACCCAATTAAATTTCACTTATATTTTGATTCTTTTACCCATTTTTCTTAGTTTTTGCCATGTTTTCTAGGTTTTGGCCCCCCTTAAGATTAAGATTGCCATACAAGAATTCTCTAAGAATACACCAGATTTTAAGTCAAAAATATCTGCTATTGTGTTGAATTCCCCAGGAATCCATATAGAGGTAGCCGACAGAGTTAGAGACAGGGCTCAATTCTTTTTCTCTTTTTTGTTTTTCTGATAAGAGAAACTTTATATCAAGGCAGTTGGCATGTCAAAGAGACGGAGCTCAATTCACAAACAGATATCCACGAACAGAACCCATTTTACGACCTAAATAGACGGGTCTACATCTAATCTATGTAAGCGAACGCATACCGGGACCTGGGTCACGAATGTTTGGTCCAAGTTTGCTGCTAGCTTGAAGCTGACTGAAGCCACCAAATGGTAACCATGTCGGTTGTACATAACAATAGTAAAGCAGTGAAGCAAGAGAAAAGGAAAAAAAATCGTGTTTGTTAAGTCTAATACTGATACCATATAAGACTATAATTTCATTTTCCAAATTTTACATGACAAAAATTGGGCATGAGCCCATATGAATGGAACGTGGATTGGGCCTCATAACATGTATCATGTTCCATATACATTGAATGGTCTTTTTGTATCTAGAGCTGGTTTCCCATGGAGATTTGCTGGACAAATAAGATTGTAACATTGAGTGGTCTATTTGTATCTTAGTTGTGCCCCAGCCGAACTCAGGTTTATGTCTCTTCCAGCTTTGATCGGTGTTACATTGAGATGGGTGGGTCCTTTTGATGTAAACATCTCTTTGGTGGGCTTTATCCAATGGTTTGTCCTAGTCTGTCCATATATACAATATGTGGAAAGATAAAAAATCTCTTTAACTAGAATTAGGGACGGGGACAGGTTTGKTGAGGGTTTYGTAAATTTTAAGTTCTTCGTCTTTCTCTTGACCTTTTAATTCCTACCTGACMTCTTCRAAATTTATAGTGGGTTGGATTTTCAGAGTCCAAATGCTCCCTACATTCGAGGGTGGGGCAGGTGGTGTCGGCATGTGGAGTTTTAAAATCCGTATCTAATTTTCTATTATTTCCTATTATATATAACCACTAAACAAGTAACATGAAGAAATACCAAAATTTTCAGTTATTTGATTAAAACATRTAAAAAAATATATGATCTATCAATTATCCTTCACATAAAATTCAAAATGTTATTAAATTCAAGTATTCAACACCTAATACATAATTTCATGTCTTTCAGACTTTCAGACTTTCACCAATATGTGGATAGGAGAAGATTGGGTTTAGCTTAATACTGTACCTAATCCATAACCTTACGGGTTCTCTAAAATCCTAAAACCCATCCCCATCCCAAAATTCCATTATTCAAAAAAGAAACCTTCCCCATTTGTAGGGCAGAAATTGTCATCCCCTAAGTATAACGACACTGTAAATGCAATAAATTGAAAACCATGATTTAACCTAGAACTAATAATTCTTGTCCACCCAAGTACATTGCCCCTTTAAACTGCCAAACGCCAGATCGCAAATTACCCTAAATGAAAAGAATAGTGATAAGGAATTGGCTTAACTAAGTTTGATGAAGGATAAATTTATAAGGCTAAAAACAAACCAGATTGAGAGAAGGGGGAGGGGGGCACTAACACAATTATTCTAGTGGGATGAGATGAAAAGCATGGGATCAAAATGAAGCATAGGATCAAAATTGATACATAGAGGATTAAAACACAATTAATTAGGGACATATAAGATATAATAAGTAGGGAAGGGATCTAAACAATTCCTTTTTTTCCACAGGCCGATTCTATTTCAACTATCAATCTCGGGCTACAAGAGAGTTTAATTGGGCCATATCAGCCGAAATAGCATTAGCAATACACATAGGAGGGACCCAAACAAGTAAAAAAAGGCGAAAAAAACTTATAGCTAATCTAGCAAGAGTGTGTGACAGCGAGCAACTTTTGCAACTTATGTATGTGGACGAAAGACACTGAGATTGAAGAGAACCGAAGGAAAAACCTATGAAATCAGCCAGCAACTAGATATGGGGAAGATGTGGGCCTCCAACAATACCTGGATGATCTTAAGCGAAAAAAAAAAAAAAAAAACAATAGCTGGGATGAATTCCAAAGGGGTTTCAAATTTGAGATCGGCTTCAGTCAGTGCAAGGCCCATTCGAACACTGTTCGAACAGTCTTTACAGCCTTGCATCGGGAACATCTCCGTACTTCTATGCTTTATTTCATGGCAAGATATTCCCAATGCAAGGCTATGATGGTTGTTTGAACAGGCTTTGCACTGACTGAATTCCATTTCTTCAAATTTGTGTTTTCTTTAGTTTTGAGGAACTTCTATCTTTTTTTTTAGAATAGAGTCAGAGCTGTCAATGGGGTTGGGTCTTGTTTGGTATAGGGAAGTGTTTTCAATCCACCGTTGACTCACCCAACCATCATTCCAAGTTCAGCCCTCTTAAAGCTAGGGATTGGTCAAAACTATCTGATCCAAGGGGTTGAACTGTTAATGTATTTGGCCCAGTTACCAACTTACATGTTGTACACTAAATGTATGTACAAACTTTTGAAAGACATAACTTTACACTCAATTGTCCAATTGAGATGATTTTGTATTTTAGGTAACTTTTTGAGATTTATGCAACCCAAGGTGCCTTGTGCCACTATTTTTGCAAAAAAAAAGAAAACATTTTCTGGTTACAAATCCCAATTTTTAAGATTTTCTATAAATAAAAATTAAAAATTAAAACAGAAAATATAAATTAAACATAAATTAACACATATATACATATAAATATATTTAGCAAATATAATTATTTTTATACACATCTCTATTATTATATATTCATCACACACACACATCTATATTTGATCCAATTATAAAAGGATTGAATTTAGGTTACCCAAATCAGATTCTAGTGGAACTCAAATTTGGGCAAACAAATATTATTGTTGGCCCATCTAATTTTACCCTAGTAAATATTCAAAAATATTGCCTTTAAAAGCTAAAAACAAGGGAACAAGTCACACCACACGAATATAAAGTGCAAATGCTTAGACAGTCATAAACTTCAAAAAGCATGAAAACGCTAGAAACCAAGAAGAAAATAGAAAACGGGTAGGACCAACCCTACTATACGCAACATTTCACATCACATATCCTTCTAAGTAAATTTTCCAAGGCCCACGAAGACTTGGCTTAAAGGCTTCCTGTCCTTTTTATCTATCCATTCCCTCCCTTTTCTTCCCACCATTCAGACGATATGGAACCAACCAATGATAATGCCTCATGTCAGTCATGGGGCTCCAACCATTCTTCAACGTCTCATCGTGGGTTTAAGCATTTTATTATGTTGTGGAGAATTACCATGGGTTTCATAGCTTTCACACAACCATCAAGATCAGTTACTCTGTGGGGGAGGGGGACTAAACTTTTAATAACTAATATATTAGACCTGCCTATCAAAATTCAAAAGCAATATTTGAGGGGATCAGATTTAGTAGTCAAAAGAACTTTTAATAAGTACGTTGAATGAGTACTTAATAAATATTTTGACAATTATCAAAAGTGGTTTTTAATCTTTTTCAAGCGTAGGCTGGGGTATTTTAAGGGTCAAGTGTCAAAATTCCAAGTGCTCATTGAATGTACTTACAACATTGTACCTACCTGATTCAGACTAGTATTTGAAGCCAATTATACTTCTTTTAACCCCCCAAAAGTTTATTCTAGGCAAGGTTCAAAATATCAATACGTTCGATACGTCGATAGAGGTGTATTAGGCAAATCGATACCTTTTTTTTTTACTTTTTTTTATTTTTTCCGAAATCGGTTCAGGGGGGCCGGTTTAAATCTCCTCCACCCCCTGAACCGGTCAGACCCCCGATACACCCACTATAGGGGCATATCAGAAGGGTTCCGAACCGATACGTATCGATACTTTGAACCTTAATTTTAGGTGGAGGGGCAGATATAACCCACCTTACCCCAAAATTCAACGGAAAAGCACAATTCCTTATACTCTCAACCCAGCCCACGAGCACTAAGAAATCACAAAAAGGCCAAACATAAATAAGAAGAAAATACATTAATAAATATGTAAGACAGTAATCTTCATATAGTCTTCCCTCAACGAATTTCTAGGGGCTCGAGGAATATCTTGAATCGAGCTAAAAACCTAGAATATCTTTTCTGCAATGCCCCTATTCATTAGGAAATTTGCACATCTATTTCATTCTCTAAGAGTATAAAAGAATTTAATCCTCATGAAATTGCACATATCCTTGATATTTCTTAAGTAGTAGGTAATATTCCAAGGAT